ATGAAGAGTAGACATTGAAAATCTGGGTTAGCCAAGCACACGATGCCAAGGTCCAAGCCCTCTGTTCTCACAACTTGGCACTAGCTCTCTTGGTTCTTAATGCCAGTGCCTCCTGCTTCCATAAACCTTGAATCTACAGTTGTTTTATTTCCTTCATTTTTCTCCTTCACAGTGTTTCCCCTCTGGCTTCTTTTCTTTGGGGTAAATACTGAAATGTAATCTTAAGAATTAAGTATTGATTTTCTTTCTCCTTTTGGTGGGTCTCCTCTGAGTTTGAAGTTGGTAAGAATCTGTAGTGATAAATGATTCCTCTTCCCAGCAAATGTTTATTCTATGATTTGGGGGGTCAGAGGGAAAAACAGCATTATGATTTTCCAATAAATCTGTGAAACTCTGCAGTGAATTATGAACCTAAGCTGAGGCTGTGTCATCTGAAGAATCAAACACAATTGGCAGATATTTCACATTTGAAAGTTATGACTTGTTTCAATGAACTAGGAGCCCATTGTATTTAAACCTAGCATTCTTTCTAAATTAAAAAGTCATGGAATTACAATATTATATTTGATAATTATATTTATTTACTTTACTTACTGATATACTCAATTTTTAATAAAAATTCTTGGATTGCCCCCTTCTGCTTTCCAATACATTTATCCTCATTATTGTCACATTTCCTCCCAGAAACAGCACCTAATGTGACATGGCAAGAAAAAAAGTGAGATTTTCTTAGAATATTAATACAATAATAAGATATAAATAAGACATGAGAGGAAAGTATTGATTTTATCGTAATGAGTAAGAATAAAGGGCTAGATAGTCCAATGACAATGGATTAAAGACTTTATTTGAAATCAGTGGATTAAACCCTTTATTTGAAGCCTTTATTTGACATTTGAAATATTTATTTTCAAATTTTGGTCTCCAAGTTTCAATGAAAGTCAATATGGAATACATAAAATTTTTCTGATATCAAATACTTCACGGCAAATATACTCTAAATTATTTCTGGCAAGTAGTTCTAACAAAGCAATATACCCCAGTTGATACAGGCTATAACATTTTCTCTTCAAGGAGAAAGTTACTATTTTTCTTGTTTCTAGTCACCAATCTAAGAGAACTAGATCATTTGAAACGCACTTTGGTCAGTTCATTAATTCATTCCACAAATATTTATTAATCCTGAATTATATGACAGATATTATTCTTAGAATGAGACATATTGTAATATGCAAGATAAACATAGCAAGATCTATTTATGATAAACAGATAAATGAAAAACTACAGGGCCTCCCTGGTGGCGCAAGGGGTTAAGACACAGCCTACGAGGCTGCTCTTTTATTTATTTATGCATACAAGAACTGGGGTACAGGCCAGAGGTGTGTGGGGGGGTGAAAGGATTTACCAGGGACAGAATGGAGAACAGACCAGAAAGATTGACTGAAGTACACTGCTGAGGGGAGCAATGGGTAAGTCAGGAGAGTTCTGCTGCGCCATGCCATGTGGGTTGCTCCCTGGCTGGCAGGCAGAGGATAGCTTCATAGGCTGTTTTAACCCTTGCACCACCAGGGAGGCCCCTAAATAAATAAATCTTAAAAAAAAAAAAAAAAGAGGCTCAATTGTTACACTTTGTTGGCTTCAAATATTGACAAGCTCAGGCAATAGCAGGTAATTTGTAATTGAAAACCCACCAAGAATAACTTGTGATACCTCTTTTTTGAATTTCTGAATTTTTTAAATTTCTTTTTTGATCACTTTTGATTAACTCCTCTGAGGACAATTTGCTAAATAGTTTTAAAAAGCTATAATTCACATAACACACAATTCACCCACTTAAAGCATACAGATTTCCAATGAGGCCTTTGCTGTTGTCAAATCAGTCTTTGTTCTACCCCCAACATATGTGCTCTTCTATTATTCCATTTACTTTAAAAATTCTTTATCATTGAGTGCTTACTATATGCGGAGCATTCCTACAGACTAAATGCCTACTTCAAGACCTAACTTAATTGTATTGCTCACTCCAACTGTTTCTCCTCTCTCAGGCTCTGGAGTTGTTGCTTGTCTCTGGCATTAAGTATCAGCCATCTTCTATTGCTGGTTAACTTTCACATGTGCATTAAGTGTCTTTGTAACCTAGCATTCTGGCCTAGATCCTCAGACCTATTATAGAGTCAATGTATATTTTGTGGAAGGTGATGAAATCTGGTGCTTAGAGAAACTGTCCTTAAATAATCCTCTTCCATCTAAGCACATCAGTAGTATAGTCATAGGACCTGAAAATTTTTTAAAAACATGTTTTTTATAAATTTTTTTTAAGATTTATTTATTTATGCATGCAAGAGCTGGGGTACAGGCCAGAAATGGGGGGGGCAATGAGAGGATTCACCAGAGACAGAGAGGGGACCAGAACAGGCAGACTGACTGAAATACACTGCTGAGGGGAGCAGTGGGCAAGACAGGAGAGGTCTGCTGCGCCATGTGGGTTGCTCCCTGGCTGGCTGGGGATCAAACTCATGCTGCAGAGGCTGTGTATTGCTTCATAGTACGGTACTTAACCCCTTGCGCCACCAGGGAGGCCCGGACCTAAAAGTTTTTAAATGATCTTGCTGACACCTGAATTGTACTAGAGATTCTGTGACAAGTTCATGTTGCTGGAATCAGCATTCTCTGCCAGAGGCTGGCACACTGTGCTTCTCACAACAATGGAAGATGAGAAGATTTGAGAGGATTTTGAAATCAAGTGGATGCAGATTAGTGCAATACTCAATTTCAATTAGGTTTCTGAACCTATAAAATTATGTGATTTCTAGCCAACAGGAATTAGTGGCTTTTCAGAAATGAGTTAATTGGGATACTTTTGTCACAATGGAGAAAGGTGATAATATAATCTGAGAAAAGACACAGTACACTGTCAACTATATCATGCAGATTCTCTTATGAATCACTGTCATCGTTTTCTGTGTGAATGACATGTGTTGCCAAATGTGCTGATTAGTTGTTAATGGGACACACACACCTAAATGGAGTGCTATATACAAAACAGAGGTAATCTCAGGAACTCCTTTCAGTTAATTATTTGTAGATAAGCAGAACTGAACTTTCTTTGAGGGCTCATTATAAAGGTGACTGCTCACAATCAAATACTTTCATGCTGCTATAGACTGAATTAGTGGCTCTAGCTTTACATAAAATGCCTAAAATGTTAACCATAAAAGCACTACATTTTCTCTGGTTTCGGTTCGCTAACTTTTAAAGCCCATCTTTTACTATTTCCTTGTACTTCTTTAATTTTAATTCAGATTCATGTTTATCAACTCAGAGGAAAGTCTGCTTTACAGGGAAGTCCTGGAACTGGACGGAATAAAAATGTCCAGTAATGACAGCCCTGAAAAGTTGTTCATTTCTTGCTTTCAGAAGATCATACTTTTAAATCATAACCATCACATGAAACATTCATCTTGAGTCCTGTTCTACCCTGCCATGTTTCAGGAACACTGGAAATAAATCCTTTGTTCTCATTCCAGCCTCTGAACCAGAGCCAAGTAGAGTGGACTCTTCATAAATATGCATTGACCGCCTGCCTGAGTATTAATGTAGGGCAGGGCTCTGATTAGCAAATGCTACCAGCAGGAGGCAGAGGAAAAGCCACAAATGGAGATAAAACGCTATTGCAGATTTTATTTTACTTTTTTCTTGAGACTTGAGAATAACAGCTACCTCTCTGGCCAAATCGCTCTCTTCAGGATCTGCAAGCAGTCCACATGTCAGGCTCTCTTCCACTGGGTCCTGGAGGAAGACAAGATGAGGGAAGAAGCAAATTGCTGCTAATTTATTCTTTTCTTGGTAGTTCAGCAGTTGCAATGCACATGAAATCTTACATCCTAAAGAAGATGAAAGAGCAAGAAAACCAAACAAACAAAAGAAAAAACGACTTGCTTTGATAACTTTTTAGCATACATCGCAGTGTACAAAATGAAAGATAATGAGGTTATTGTCATCTCTAAGACATGGGGCAAATCATATATTAATGTTTATGGATTTTATACTAAGCTTATTCTTTCCATTTGAGGGAAAATTACTGCAACCAACCTCTGCAGCTTTGACTAAAAAACAAGATCAAGCCCCCCCCCCCAAAAAAAATAAAGCCCTTTTTGAACTACTTGGCCTAATAATTACTTTATTGTAATTCCAGAGCTTCTCAAACTGCTAGTGAGATTCACCTGGCCCACTAGCAAATCGGCCCCAGATGCACCCAAGCGCCAGGGGCAGGAGCCCCAGGGGCCAGAGAAGCCACGCCTCGGAGCCTGTTGCTGGTGGAGGAAACCAAGGAGCACGTAAAACTCAGAGGGCGAGGACAGCCGGCTTTGCAGGGAGCCTAGAAATCTAATCACACGGTGATTACCCGGCGCCTTTCTACTGCGGGAACCCAGCCCCTTTCACCACACACCACCCGGCCCACTTAGACCCAACCCCACTTCACAAGCCACAGGGCAGCCCCATTGTTATTACAAGAGTGGCAGGAGGGGATGCGCGGGGACTCTGCGGGATCCAGAGAACCTCCTCCTCTTTGCTCAAGACTCGCCAGAGGAGGCAAACCTGGAGGGTGCAGGAGGCGCCAAAGTCCCAAAGGTGCTGCGAGGGCGCCGCGCGCCGGAGCGCGGGATCCGACCCACCTCCCCGGGCCGGGATGGTACGGCCCGAAGTAAGGCGGGGCGGAGGAGGCCTCGGGGGCTCTCCCCGCCCCTCTCCCGCCTCCCCGGCCGCGCGGCCTCGGCAGCGAGTGAGCGCGCTCCCGGCGAGCCCTCCCCCGGCGCCGGGGTCGAGCTCCGCCCTCCGCCGAGCCGCCCCCATCTCGGCTGTGGAGAGCTCTGCGGCCGCCCTGGTCGCGGCTTCCCTGCTGCAGCCGGCGCGCGGGGCCGCGCCGGGGGGCTGCACCGCCCGGGGGGGCAGCTGGGCCGGAGCTGCAGCCGCTGAGCGCTCCGCGCAGCGCAGCCCGGGCTCCCGCCGGCGCAGCTCCGTGACAGGTGCACGGTTGCGGGTGGAGACCCACCTGCGGCGGCCGCCGACATGCCCACGATGCGGAGGACGGTGTCCGAGATCCGCTCCCGCGCGGAGGGTGAGTGGTGGCCGCAGCGCGGGGCTATGCGCGGGGCGCACGCGGGGGCGATTCTGGGGCATCCTGGGGTCGGGTGTTGTGCGTGTGTGTGTGTGCGTGTGCAGGAAGGGACATCTCGTTCCACCTCTTCCCCCAAAGCAGTCTGGCTGTCTCGCCCTTTCCCTGGCAGAGCTTTTTCCCTGCGCAGCCTCCCGGTTCTACAGTCGCCAAATTGGTGTCCTCGGCGGGAGCCCCAAGGCTTGATTTGCACCGCAGCGTGACCCACCCTTCGGTCTCTATCAACAAGCTGTCTTGCCCGGCTCACCTCTCGCCCCCAGCGCAAAAATCTCCTTGTCGCTACTCACCTCCCCCACCCTAGTGAGCAGATTCCTCCCACTCTAGTGAACAGATCCCCAACCTGCCGCCCCCGCCTGCCTTTTTGCAGCCCCCGCGGTTCCTGGAGGTTCCTAGAGAAGCGGGTTTGCCCTTCCCAGGCTGCAGGATTCTTTGATCCACAGCGCTTTGTCTCTCAGCGTGAGAAGCCTTCATTGGGGTTGGGTGCTCAGCGGGCACAGTGCATTACATTCTGTGCCATTCTGCCTCCTGCAGCGGGGTCTCACTCAGCTCCCAGCTGAGGTTTCAGGGGTTTTGCTTGGTTGATTGCGTTTTTTTCCTTTTGCCTGATAAAGGCACTTTGGCCAGCTGACTTGACTTTTTAGCAAGGTGGAAGTTGTTGTCTGTGCTCCACCCAGAGCCAGCTGTTGAATGGCTACACTTGTCAGCTCTGAGCAACAGATGCCCGAGGGGATCTGCAGGTGAGCTTGGGGTAAGCTATTAGTGAGACTTTCTTCAGCCAATCTAAGGAGCCCTCAGCAGACTGCCTGGCATGTGGCGATCTCTTGGTAAATATGCCTTGATTTTGCTCCTGGCAAAAGCAAGATCTGTATTACATATCTGCAGTTTTGTTTCGTTCTCCTTTATCTCCTATAAGTCAGTACTGGAATCCTGCAAAGGGTGGAATAACATGTTTTTGAAAACTAGTCTATCTTACCACCCCACCCTTCCCTACAACCCACACTTGAATGTGAGACAGGTGGTAAAGTGGTTTTAAGAGAAAAAAAAAAAATGAAAGCGAGACGTTAGGAGACTAGGGCTCCAGGGATTTGAGATAAGCCATTTTCTTATTTTCACACACACAGTTCCCATGTTAAAAATGGGGACCTTAAAAAAATAAAAATAAAGTGGGGACCCAGACTCTAATAATGTATGATAGCCTGATTCCACCTTTAGAAAATATAAAATGAAACTGCTCTGAGGTAGTGGCCACACAAGTCAAAACTAGCATGTGTCCTACATAGGAATTTATGACACATAATTATCATTTGTAATATAACCCAAAAAAGTGTGTAGGACATTGCCGTTTTAGATGCACATTTAAATAGATATTATTTAAAATCTATATTGTAAAAAAGCTTCTTTTTCACACTTCTCATTGAAATGCATGAATTTTTCTGATTAGCACTTGAGTAAGCCATACAGGTAATGAAAATATAGTAGTAAAGATTGGGGTTGTTCCCTCAAACAACAGCAATGTATGGGTTGTATATTAAGGGAAGTGTGGGGGGAGGGGAGGGAGAGGCAGAAAGAGAGAAACCAAAAACAATGCAAAACTTGTGGCATGTTAGAGAACGTGGTATTGTTTTTGATTCACATATGTAAATTTTGAAGCATTTTCATAGAGGTTGCTTTATGGGACTTGATAACTCTCCTGCAGGTAATTAAGGTGATTCCACCTGATACTGAAAGAAATTGTTACTCAGGCAGTTGCTGTACTTGTTCTAGATCGAGTAACTAGCTCAGTGACACCTTTGGATTAAGAGCTCTGGAAAAACAAGGACTGTTTCTTACTTGATCTTTGCATTTTCTCTGCATCCAGTTCTAGCTGAATGACCTTCTCCTCCCATATTGGTTGGTTTCAGTTTGTTATGTGCCCAGCATTTTCTCAGGACTATGGTGAGGACAACATGAATAATGACTCTGTGGGCTGGCAATGTGTCTCATTGCCTGCTCTTCCCACATTTTCCTAAGGAATAGTCTCGTTTGACAGCTCCTGCTTCCTAGAGGGCCTTGTCCTGCATTGGCTCTTAACTGGAAGAGTTTAATTCACTGAAGTAGGGTAAGCTCCCAAACTGACAGCATAATCTGAATGGCTCAGACACCTGTTACCTTGTAGTGTGGCTCAAAAAAGATTCTCTATGGTGCTAATATCTCTTATGGGAAGGTTAAGCTTAGAGACTAAAAATGAAGCAGAGTGAAACAGAATGGGACAAAGGTGAGCAAACTGGCATAGGAGAGAATGGCTGTCTGGAACAGACCATTCAAATGTTGTTGATAAGAAGCAGAAATTATGAGTGAAGGGAAGAATGGAAGACAGGGAGAAAGAGAATGGGGCAGAGAGACAGATCCTGAGAGAGGGTCTGTCCATGGAGAATCTCCCTCCCTGAGTTTTCTAGTCCCAGTTCCCAAGTAATGTTTACAAGAGGTTTTTTTTTTTCCCTTGTAGTGGCTTGAATGGGTTTCTGTTGCTGGTATTCAGGTTGACCAGGTACAAGTTATTTACAACCAAATTGGGGCAAAAAAAAAAAAAAACTTCACGAAATAAGGAATAAATACTCTAAGAAGGGTTATTAATTGAACACCATGCTTGCTTTGGGTGACTTTGGTCTCTTGAAAAGTCAGGATATAAGAGTATGAGGGCCTCCCTGGTGGCGCAAGGGGTTAAGCACAGCACTATGAAGCTGTCCTCAGCCTCTGCAGCACCAGTTCGACCCCCCAGCCAGGGAGCCACAGATGGTACAGCAGACCTCTCCTGTCTTGCCCGCTGCTCCCCTCAACAATGTTTTCAGTCAGTCTGCCTGTTCTGCTCCCCACTCTGGTGAATCCTCTCACCCTCCCATACGTATGGGCTGTACCCCAGTTCTTGTATGCATAAATAAATAAATCTTAAAAAAAATAAGAGCATGAGGTCTGCTGAGTGAATTCTTCACTGAGGAATAATTTGAGATGAACACTCTTGCAGTGCTTCTCAGACTTTAAGGTGTACTTGAAATACCCCTGGATCTTGTTAGATGTAGATTCTATATCAGTAGGTCTGAGGTGAAGCTGGAATTTCATTTCTGACAACACAGTGATGCTGGATGATGCTGGCCTGCAGATAACAGTCTGAGTAGCAAGGAAATTGCCATCTATTTCAATAGCTGGGAAGGCACTGAAGGTAGAGAATAACCAATTGAAAATAGTGAACATGGTTTATTTGTAGTTCTTAAGGAAATTGGCCAGGAACAAAAGAAAATTTGGAAGGAGTAGCATGTAAGTTTGGAGAGGTAAAGTACTGCTAAATTACAGAGCATTCAGAATACCAAGATGAGTCATTTGGTTATAGAATCAAATGTTTGGAAAAGTTCTCAGAGTCCATTTAATCCAATTTCTCATTTTCAGGCATGACACCAATGTAGAATATCTTGAACAGGGCCAGTTAGGAGCCAAGTCATCATAAGGAAGTGACATTCCCCAAGAAGTGTCCTAGAAAGATAAGTCTGAAAAAAGCAACAAATGTCATATGATTTCACAGACAAGTGCTACATAAAGAAAGAAACTCAAGAAAACCCAGATAAACTTTTAGACTCTCAGACCAAATTAGTGGTTACCAGAAGGGAAGGGGGAAATGGAGTAATTTGAAGCTGACTGATTGGGGGATCTTTATTAAAAGATAAGGAAGTTGTATCAGTGAAGTGATTGTGGAATATCCAAGTGAACATGTTGGAAGATACTTAGATATTTGGAGGTTAGATATGAGAAAAATCAAACTGGATTTTTGAGTTCAGAGATAATAGATGATACCCTAATAATAGATAAATTTGCCAGAAAGCAAATGAAAGGGAAGGCCAAGTGTTCTAGGCCTCTGTACTTCTCACCACTTAAATGGGTCTCCGAATGCAGCTAGAAATAGAAACTAAAATAATAGCATTTTGGACAAAATATAAATTTTCTCACTCCTGTAAAACTAGAATGGAGGCAGGCAGTCCAAGTCAGCAGGCCCACAACCCAACACAAAACTTCCATAAACTCATAAAATGGTTGAGGATCCAGCCACTAATGTAGGCATTCCAGGGAGGAGGAAAAAGATGGCTGGTGAGAAACCAAAGGGCTTTCCTGACTTTGCCACACAAAGAGGCATACTTATTTTGCATTGGCTTCCATTTGCAGAAGAAACTGGGGAACAGAGGTTTTTTTCCACAGGGCACATTACTCAGTGTTTTATCACTAAAAGTTAAAAGGAAATGGTTATTGGTACAGGTATAGCCACCTTTGGTATTCAAATTGCCTAAGGCTTTTGCTTGAATAAAAAAATCTAGAGCTCACAATTTACAAAATGATAAATATTAAATTGTTTAAAACTAAGAAACAGCACAGAAAAACATACCTATCCAAGGTTTACATTTTCTTCTGCTATATATTATAATGCTAAAATATAAGATACCTGATGGTGTAAAACATTTTCTTAAACTGATCTGTATAAATGGCAACTTTAAAATATTTGTAACTGTATACAATGCTACATTTCATTTACTTAAAAAATAACAAAAAGAACATTAGACAATTTCTACAAGGATTGCTAACAGGTAACTTCTAGAAGGTCAGTTCAGTCACTCAGGTTAAAAGGTAACTAAATCTTTCTTTAATAAACACAGATTATACACTTGTGTGCCAGCTAATTGTGTGCTGTAACCAAAAAAAGGTTGGTGAATGACAATCCCAAAAGAAATATGAAGCTAAATTAAAGGTTTATAACTGACATTGTACTGTGAGAGAGAGGACTTAACAAAATGCTACTTCATGTAATCAATATCTGAGAATCCCCCAATCCATGTCATTTTATCTGTTTAATTCTGGACTTATTAAATGTGACACAGCTAGATTGGTTTAGACTCTTTAATCTACAGCACTTCATCATTTCAAAA